CTACTGCCACCTGCTTGATTATTTTGAAAAAATTAGTATTATATAATTCCTTTTATCAAACAAAAATAATGTTCTTTATTAAATATAATCATATAATAATCATATTTTTCGTACATTAAATAAAATAATTGTATGTCTTTAAAACATATTCTGTTTATTTATTTGATTATTTTTCTTATATTTAAATTTTAAATAATTGAAAATTATTTTATTTAAAGAATATAATTATAAAAATCTATTTTAAAACCAATGATTTTTATAAATAAATGATTAGTTGCAAATGGAAAAAAATTAACAGTTTATAAAAAAATTTTGTAATTAAACATATACATATATAATTCACTAAAATAATTTAGAAAATAGTATTATTTTATATGAATAAATTTTTTCATACTATTTTTACATTTTTACTTTAGAATAAAATATTTCTAAATATTAAAACGCTTTATTTTTAATATCTTGAATAATTTCAAGATATTAACAAAAAATATAACTAATTTTCGCTTTCATTTCAAATATTACTAGTATAAAAAAAATATTAATCATCAAATATTATTCATCTTTTTTGTCACATTGCATCCTACATAATTTTTATTCTAGAATTCAAAAAGCAATCAGATATATATATACAAAGTTGTATGTAACAAAGTTTTTTATTCAATGTATCTTCGCTATCTAACTTCTTCCTGTAAAAATTTCGATTTTATTTCCCTGGATTATTGAAGTTTATGCTTTGCTCTTCGGGGATCAAAAATTTTAGATTATGTCATGTTTGACTCTGATTAATTCTCAAAAATGGAAGATACATATTAAAGAATCGAAATACGATACTTACGTAAATTTTATTTACGTAAATAAATAAACCTCGTATGAGGGATTTCAGTTAAGAAGCATACTGTATAAGTATTAGTATTATAGAAAAAGATGGAATTTTAAACGTAAGCAAGCATTTTTGTCGTGATATTCGTCATTTATTTAATCCTTAGCAATTTATAATACAAGATCAGTTACGTCAATGAATTTTAGAAATACTTTGAGCGCGATTTATTATTAAATTTTGAATATGTATATATATATATATACACACACACAGTTTTATATATATATAGCACAGAATTTTTTTAATAAATTGAGTTACTTTTAAGTTTTAATTTTATTGAAGTTAGGATATGTTTTTTTTTTTAAACGAAATTTGATAAAAATGAAAAAATAATTTTAATAATAATTTTGATTATTATAAATAAATATTGATGAAGTTATAAAAAATATATTGCTTTTTTTTATATATTCAAATATATGTATGTTATATTTTGATAATATTTCATTTATTGAATATATATATTTAAATATATAATAATTATATTTCACATATATGAATTAAATTATTTCAAGAATTAATAATGTATTCTTAGATATAGTATATAAAATTAAATATTCATGATACAAATATTATCGTTACAAGCGCGTTAATTCAGTATCATTATAATTTTTATAGTGAGATCATATAATCATGAGCATTGCGTCATTAAAAGTATAAAGGATTTCTTATAAGCATAAGATACACATGTCTAAATATAACACTTAAATATTTTAGCTAGATGTAGTTAATTGCATATATAGATAATACATGTGCATCCATATATTTGAAATACTAAATGAACGATATTTGAGACTTATAAGAAATATAATACGTATATGTCAGTTTAATAAATTGATATTAGTGTGTATCACTAATATAAAATAAAAAATAAATAAGATTTTTTGTCAATTTTATATTCTAGTTCGAAGTTGATAATAAATTAAAATATATTTATATTACAGCATTATCGTTAACTTGTTAAATCTATTGAATGGAGTAAGCTTAATACTACGTTACTAGTATATATACCTAATCTATAATTTGAATATTTAATAAAATGATAAAATTTCGTTAAAAAATTTTCTTTTACAGATTTTTAATAGATTTTAAGGTATTTCTCTTGATAAAACATTATGTGTATGTATATTTTAATTCATCATGTGATCATTAAATATATCATTAAATATTCTTCTATGTAACTTGAGGAAAATTCCGCATTAAAAAAAAAAAAAAAAATGGAAGAATATCAAATGAGCAAAAAAAAAAAAAAAAAAAAGATAAGAAAAAATATACAGATATTAAAAAGTATGAATTTCTTATTTGATCTGATGAAATTATAAGTATCAATTGCGAGATGGAACTAAGCACTAAGTTTTTTTCCCAATCCATGTGAATTTTTTTGATTTTTCTTTTCTGTCTATTTTTATTTATTAGTGATTTAACTAATAATAATAATTCGCTTTGGCAAGTTTCTTAATGATTTTTTTTTGCTGATATTGATAATGTTGATAATATTGATATGTTGTCATACATTTTATATTTATTGTTGCGATGGATGTCCTAATCAATTTGTTATTATGTTTTTACATATTATTTTTAGTTTTTCCTTCATCTTTACCAATTTTTATATTATTGATATCATATATTAAATTATTAATATTTTGCATAAAAGTATAAAAAAAAATATTAAAAATCGTGAATTTCAATTCATACAATTAATAATTAATTAATAATAATAATAAGTGAATTGTTCGAGATGAACATCAATTATACATGAATTATAATATTATTAATCGTAAAAATAATTGAATATTTTCACTTAATTTGGTTTCAATAATTCAAGCATTTATCTTTATCCTTTATCGACAAATAAAAAAAAATAAATGGAAATTAGACGAAATAAAATTAAGCAATATAAATATTATTTATAATATATATATTTTATAAATTTATCAATTTAAAATTATTTTAATTGTATAATTGATCTCATTTTCAGCAACAAAATCATACAAATATAATCAACGATTTTTATAAAAAGAAAATCAGAATTATAAATAAATAAATTTCCTGAAATAAATTTTCCTCTAAACTAATTATGTTTAAATGACTAAATAACTCTCGTATTATATGAATTATATGAACTATATGAATAATTAGATTAGATTAGAAAATTTTTCCTAACTTCATTATTTATTAGAAATCTCTGTAGACTGCCATTCACCCGATTCTAGTAAAATGAATCTTTGATGTTGCAGTAATGTTATATACAATAATATAATATAATAAATATAGGATCTAGGAGAGAATCTTACGAATCTTATATTATTTATGAAGATATTATTGTATGTAATAAATATATAATTCATCAATTTTAATTTATTTTTTATAAATAAAAATTCAATTCAACTCAATTAAATAACTAAATTAAATTAACATAGATTGTTTGATTGTAGGAGAATGTTAATAATAAATCTAAATTTTTTATATTTTTGAAATTTTTTCCATACTTTGAAGAAATCGTATTATCTTCACATTCTATCATAGTTTGTTGATATTCAAATGACATGAATTGTTAAATGTCTATTCATATAAGAAAGATAAATTTTTCCAAATGATAGTCAGTCGCGATGAAAATGCATTCTAATCAGCCTAGTTATGTAAAGATGAGTTGTGCAACTAACTTTTATAATCTCACTAGTCGATACGTTATGCTAACGAGCTTATGCTTGATTAAGAGTGGTTCTCACTGTACGAAAAATGCTATTGATGTGAAATAGAACCTAAGATTTATATGTACATTCATTCATGTACAGTCAAGACTTGTTGATTTTATATAAAATGTAATGATCGATTTATATGAAAAAAAATAGTTAATTAAAATACTATATTTATATAATCATCGAAAAAATGTAATATAAAAATAATAAATTTTTTTGTTATGTTAACTCATTATATGATTGAAAGATTAAATATTTTAGTATGTCATAATCATAATGATCGACACATCAATAAATGCCGCTTATTTTTCATAATCATTGCACTTGTATATTACTTTCTAAACAACTTAAGAATTATGTTATATTTTTGATCATAATTATTAAAGAAAAATACATAAAAATTTTTTTAAAAATTATTTGCAAAGCAATTATAAGGTAGCAGAAGAAAAATATTATTATATATCATTAATTTTAATAGTATAAACAATGTTAATATCTTATTATATATATTATTATTATTAAGATAAATAATATAATGATGTCTAAAATCTATATATTTGATTTTCAGAAACTTTATGGTATATTGGTATACTGGTGTATAATTACTGGAATTAAACAAGAGAATACATGAAAACAAATATGAAATCTAATAATACATAATATCATATTTAAAATTAAAAAAAATCCACTTAATTTTATCATACGCAATTAACTTTTATTATTAGAGTTCTTTATAGTTCTCTGTTATAATATTATTACAAGTTTTAATAATATCTCAAATTAATAAAATATTATTAAAAATATCTTTAATATAAATTTATATGACTATAAAAACAATTTGTATTAAGCAAAACATCAAATCTAGAATCTCAATTCATTTTCTAATTAATAGTAGTTTGATTCTTATTATATTATATTATAAAAAATTAATATTAAAGATAGATTATTTGGAATTCTTGAAAAAGATATCAATATTGAGATGATATCAATTTATTTTTATTTAATTATTTTTATTCAATTAAACTCGTGTTTAAACTTTAAATTTTAATCTTATGAATTAATAATATTTTACAAATCAAAAAAACTATTGATTAACTATAAATCCAAACTCGAATTACAGAAATCACAATTTGGTAATATTTTACTTCTCTAAAATAAATAGAGACTTTCTTTTTTGAGAAAAAAAAATTTGAATTTTGACAATTTCAAGTTTTGATTTTCACGAATCTGCAGTTTTAATTCTAATATCTCTAGCTAATATAAATACGGGGTTGAAAGAGAAAGAGACAGAACAAAACGTAACAAGGTCGTCTTGAGAACGCCTGGTGCGGTTGATTACCAAGGCCTAAAACCCTAGAAATTCGCCTAATACATGCGATATTGGCTTCCTTTATAAAGCTTCCGTTTTTCACTACCAAGGTCCACAGTTCGAGAAGAAGTTGGTTTACGGCTATCCTTCTCGTCACTTTCTATGATCCTTCATCCCCATACGAGAGCCTAGTCATCCAGTTCTATTACGTGCATTCATATTATGTGCCGCGTATTGAAGTTCAGTGAAAATTGAAGAAAAAACAATCAAATCTTATGATGTACCAGATCATAGAGAAATGAGTGCTTCACCATGTATTCCACGATTATATTATTTTATTATTATAAAAGGGAAATAAAAGAAAAAATCGAAGAAAGAGATTGAAGAAGGAATAAGTATCAACAAGTTGGAACAAGATAGTGAATAGTTGGAAGGAGAAGTAGGAAAAAAGAGGAATAGTGTGAGAAAAAAAGGGAAGAAAAGGAAAAAAAGAATTCAAAATGGGGAAGCTGCAAACGTTGCTGATGATACTTGGTATTATTTGTACGTGCACTTGCGATGGGCGCACAGATTGCGGAAATCACGCGCAGATCTCGCTGTTGACCAGCATCCATGATGATCCATCCTGCCGGAAACTGTCGGCCAAAGGTGTACTAATGTACGAAGCTGCAAAATTGCTTACTGAAATTCACAACAATAAAAGTGGCGGCTATGACATAGGTAAATAAATCAGATATATTTTTATTTTCCTAGTATTAAAATTGAAGTTAATTGTGATTTATATTTTTATTCAAGATTATAAATAGTTTTATTGAAAATGCTTAATAAAAATTCTTATGTTATTTTAATCAATGTTCATGCATATATTAAAGTAATATGATATAATTATCATAAAAAAATTATTAATAATAATTATAAATAATAAACATAAATGATAGAGAAAAATTGTGTTACTGCAATACTTATTGGATTAAAGTAAACTTGCTTGATTGAAATTGTAATAATTTATATTTAATTTTTGAGATATTATTTGAGAATTTAAGATTTCTTATTTTTGTATTATTTAGCATAAGAATCTAAAATTCTAAAAATGATTCCTTAGAAGAATTTATTAATTACTTTTTTTCCTTAAAAGAATTAATCATATTAATATATTAATTTTCGATTTTTCAAAATTAATCATCTCTTTACATATTTATATCATACCATAATTTTTTCATTTTAAAAATAAATCTTTTTGAAAACTTTAATGCTATCGTATATTTAATTGAATAAAATTAAAAGGATACAACACAAAAATTCAAAATTTCTCAAAAATTTATCTCAAAATTCACTACCCTTCAATTTAATTTTTCCATTAAATATCTTTCTATAAAAATTAATTGTATTATATTAGAATAATTAAAATTTCTTATTTTCTAAAATTAATCATTTCCTAATATATAAGTCACAAAATGTTTTTTAGGATATTGATATCGTTATATAATAATTTATAATTTTTCAATTTCAGCAATACTCTTAAAAATCTAATAAGTAATCTAATAAATAAATGAAATATTATATGATTATAATAATTTCTATTTTACAGAACTGACTGTTTTCGACACATGCGGCAGCATAACTGGTACTTTAAAAGCGGCGATGAAGGCTCTCGTAGGGGCAGATACAAGTTGTTTGCAACCGCCTTACTATTTAGGTAAATGTAATTTATCCAATCATATTTTCTAAATCAAACAATACAGACATATGATTTGATTTTTTATATGATCTATTGCAATTTCTTTTTTTACAACAATACTACTTGAAATATATTATTCAGCTTGATTAATCACAAAATTGTAAATTTAATATTAAAAAAATATTATATATCGTATAGTAACTCGTATAAACTCAAATACTAATTTTATTATATATTAATTTTATTTTATAGATTTATTAATTATATAAAAAATTTTTTTATATTTATTTTACTATGATTTAATAAAATTAATATGATTTAAGTTATTAAAATTATTATGTCTTAAAAATTTGAATTTAAATTGAGAAATAAATTTATATTGCTTTAGAAAGATAATAGTTTTAACAATTCAAGAATTTCAAGAATTTTTTATATTATTTTAATTTCTTTTTAAAAAGTTTCTTTTTAAATTATCTAAATCTGGATATTTATGTATAAAAATTAATAAAAATCCGTTTGTATATATATATAAAATGTATTTTATTTAAAATTTGCTAAATGATTATAGCAGCATAATCCTTTTTCTTTTTTAATGTAATACATATTAGATTATTTTTTTTAACAGGAATTATTGGACCAGATACTGCAGCAAATGCGGAAGCCGTACATAAGATAACTTCAGTGCTGAAAGTACCACATATTGTGACACGAGTATCGAATTCTCCGTATCTTCATTATCTAATGAAGGAATCCGATTCTTATCTAGTTCAAGTAATTAATTCCATGAATTCAATTTATATATATATCTTATATAATATCATTTATATATATATATATATATATATATACAAACAATTGTAATATATATTCAGAAAATTTATATATAATGAAAGGCGCATTACAAAACAAACATAAAAATTGATATATGAAAATATTAGTTGAGGCTTATTAAATTATAAGCAATTTAATTTTGTAGATGAAACGAAGTAAAAATAGAATATATCGGTGGTGAAATAAAGACAAAATATAATTAACAATTTATATAATTATAACTTAATAAATAAGCCTTAAGCAATATTTTTGTATACCAACTTTTGTATTTGTTTTAATCTCTAAAGCAGATCTAAATATCCTATGAATATATTAATACTTTGTATGTCTACCTCGAATTTCAATATCACACAATAATCCTATATTTAAGAAATAGATGTATATGGATTAAAGTCAGATAATTTAATATTAGAATATATTTTGAACTTTATGTACATTAGAATGAAAAGAAGTTAACTAAATTTGATACATAGGAATAAATATAATAGGAATTTTGTTTGTTTAAAATTTATTATATTTATTAATTATGATTTGCTGATCCAGGGAACGTTAAAAATCATGGAAGAATTAAAATGGAAATCGTTCACATTAGTGGTGAACGGTGATGAGGATGGTGAGGATGACACTCAAAACATTGCAAAAAAATTAACAACGGCAGCCATTAAAAATGGTTTTTGTGTTTTGATTTCTGATGGCGATAAAGATGGTAAGGTAACAATTTTCTTTTTTTTTTTTAATTATTTATTTGTTTTTTCTTTTTTTTTTAGATATTGATCTTTTAAATTCTTTCTAATATTTATATAGATATTTATGTAGATAATTCTTTATAATATATATATTCGAAAATGAATAAACAAAATAAAAAATTATACATTATATATATTATACTATATAACACTAGGTTTCGAAGAATCAAAAATCAGAAAAATTGGACAAAAATAATAATTAAGATAATTAAAATTAAAAATAAACTAATAAACTAATTTGAATGTTTGAAACATTATTATGAAGATTTTGTTAATTTTTAAATTGCAAAAATTTATGAAAAATTTTGGAGAAAAAATTCAAAAATTAAAAAAAAAATCGATAATGCGATAAATCGAAAAATTAATCGCAACAAAAATTCCAGATTTAACCACGCATATTGTGCATATTGGAACACCGGAAAATGAATTCTTCAGCAAACCAGTGAATTCGACCATTTTGATTGTCAGCGAAGGACATATCGAAGAGCATTTAAAACATGTTAATTCGACAAACACTATTTTAGTTTTGGAAGATTCCAGGTAACCACATATATTTATATTCTTTTACATTTAAATTTATAAAATCTAATTAATGAAATTTCAAAAATAAAAATATACATTCAATTGTAATCATAATAAGAATAATTCTCAAACTTATTAATGAAAATATTATATCAAAATGGTATATCAGACTTAATGATATCAAATAATTTTTTATATCTTTATATGTATATCTTAATTTTGTAAGATATCAAAATTTATAATGCTATCATAATTAAAAATTTAAACTTTCTAATTTAACTTAATAAAACTCAAAACACTGTATTTTAAATTATATACATATATCACAAAAAAAAGCAAGTGAAAATTGATTTTTTATTCTTTAATAAACTAATTAAATCAATAATTAGAATTGAAACCAATTGAACCTTTTCTGTCAATTCGTAATTGATGACAATTGTGTATATTTATAAACATCGATTATCAATTAATTCCGACAACATGACTCAAACCGCAATTAAGAAATTTTCTTACGTAACATTATCCGTTTGATAATCCGTGACACAATTACTGTTTCTCATATGCATAAACGTTCCGTTATTTTTTTTCTATTTTTCTATATTTTACATTATACGATGATATACAAAAATTTTTCTTTTCATTTGAATATTTATCGATTTCATTTATTTTTCATTTTAATAAAAAACTAAAAATTTTAATTAATTAAATATAAATTATTATATATTCAAAGTTTATTATATCAAATTTAAACAAAATATAAAAATTGCTTTTCTGATAATAAAATAACAATTTACATATCTTTATAGAAACAACAAAAATTTAGATATAAAATTTATACTATAGGAAAATTATAATAGAAGCTTATTGATTAATTATTGAAGCTTCGAACATTTCAATATCTTTCATTTAAATTATTTTTAAATTATTTATGCATAGAAAAGTATAATATTGCAATCTGAATTTTGCAATATTTAAAAAATAAAAATTTTTTATAGCATGTAATAATAAAAATTTGTTGATCAATATTTTACGAATCATTTAAATATGTTTTCATGCTGATATTAATAAAACAAAACAAGGAATTACTTACAAATGATCTTAAAAAAATCGATATTTAAAATGATAATCGTAGGAAAGAAGATTTTATTAGAATAAACAAGAATAGAATTTTCTGCATTCAATACATAGGATTAGAAAATATAAAATTGTGTAACAATAAATTTCGTTTTTTTTTTATGCGAATATAATATGAATATAACTGTGTAATTTCTTTTACATATTATTATGTATCATTTAATTAATTTTTTTTCGATGTAATAATATGTATGGAGTCGTTAAAGTACACCAATCAATTTTAAAATGTTAATTATTTGATTTCCTTACTTATTAAATGAGCTCGTACCCTAATATTAAAGTTGAGAAATTTATAGAAAGTGAATATTTTTTCGTAACTTAATAACATAAAAAAATCCTTCAACTTTACTAATAGAATAGAAGCATTGAAAATTTCATTTAGAAAAATTTATAATAAAAATTTGATTTATAATTTATAAACAAAAACTATAGTTCTAAAAATAAACTAATACAATTAATCAAGTGAAAAAGTAAAATATCAAATGCTGACAAAATCAATTAAGCGAGAAATTAAAATCGAATGTTTTTGTCAAATCAAAAATATTATCATGTTAATTATGTCAATTATACTTCGATATCGATCAATACAATTTACCACCTCTTCTGAATGAATTGTACAAGTCCAAGATAAAAATAATAGATTTATTATGTCCTATCTGACAATCATGATTGTTAATGAGTAAATGGTAACCACAATACAGTATCAACGATCATTTCATAATACTTGTCTATTAATACAAGTTGGTTTGCAACAGCTTTTTTTTCCTTTCTTTTTTTTCCATGATACCATCGACACAATAATTAATATAAGTTATAAAGGATATACAACATATTTGAAATATTCATTTATTATGAATAAATAATTACAAGAAAAAACGAAAATAAATAAAATTGTAATAACATTTTGAGAAAACTAGTAAACTTTTATATTTCAAACTCTCAATAAACAATATCTGAAACTTTGGTTTAATTGAAAAAATAACAAAATTTTTTTTATTTTATTACAATATAGATAATTTATATAGTATTGTAAAATTAAAATTAGATTAAATAAGATTAGCTTAGGTTATTAAAATTACTTTTTTTTTTAACCAATAGGCATAAAAATAATATCATAAGTACAATTTTAGTTAAATATCAATTTTAATAGAGTAATCAGATGTAATTTTTATTATATTCTAAATCTATTTACTGAGAAGATTGCTATAATGCATATTACCTTTCTGCAATGTGAATTACAGTGAAGACAAAAGAAGAGAAAAGCACTGAGAACAGTATTACATAAATGCAATGTTGTGTAAAATGTGGGTGCAGTGTGAATGTTATAATGTTTGTTATTTTTTTTTTTAATTAATTCGAACTAATTAAAATTACTTCAAGATTCTTTTCATACGTTTTCATCTTATAAACTATTTTTTTAATTTCTTTTAACTTTTCAGAAAAAGTTGTTTAATCTAAAAAAAATCAGCAACATAATATTAAAGCTTAAAATTTATACCATTTTTACAATCATGAAATCATCGTAAAATTAATATGCAAATGAATAGATTAAATGATTCTAAAATTTTTTAAATTTTGATACATTAATATAATAATAGAATATTATTATTATTGAGAAACTTTTGCAAATTGATAATTTACTTTTTTATAGATTGAGTCGAAAATATCAAAATTATTATTTGTCTATTAATATTTAAAAGACCATTAAAAAAATTATTAGATTGAAGTTCTGTTAATTATCTTATTCTCAAATTAAATGAAATTACTATTGTTGATTGTAATAATAACTTCATATCATAACTTCATAATAAAATTAATATGAAATCAATATGAAAAAAAAAGAAAAAAACGATACACTATATCTACCATACTTATTTTTCTTGTAAATACATGCAGTATCAAGATTTTGCATATCATGTAATGCGTATTTAAATGTAAAATTAAGTATAATTATTGAGGAAAAAATTAATTACTACGGATCGAAGTGAATTATTCCAGTGAATTAATGATTTTTTATTATTTTTTTCTTTTATTTTTACAATATTACGTGATTCTATGAGATCCTATGATTTAAAATGTTTTTTGAAACTAATGCAATATATATCCAAATTTTATATAAACATCTATATTCTGCAATTTATATATATTTATATATATATATATAAATTTTATTCTTTTATATGAAAAATAGGTATGACAAAATATAAGATAATTTTGAAACATTTTTTGTTGTTTGATCGAACGATGAAAATGAAAAAAATATCGATTTTTGCAAATTTTGGCTATATTTACGTGATATAGAAAATTTTTTAATTTTTTTTAACATATTTATGTCAATTTTATTGTACAATATCAGATTTTTTTTCGATAATAGATTTTTTTTTCGAGATATATTGTTTTGAAGTTATTAATTGTTTGAAGTTAAATTATGCATAAAGATTTATTAAAAAAATATTCTTAAAATTAATATACATTTTTATATTTATGATCTGATTATGCATTATTATTAGAATGAAAAAGAAATTGTTTTAAAAATTTATTATTTGAAAAAACGTAATAATTACTATAATCAATATCATAATTAGTGTTGCAAACATATCATCGCATAAAAATCTTGAATAGTACTTCAAAAGTGATGATGCATCGTTGATAATAATAAAATTGCTGTTATAACAGTAAATTTTTGTTTCTATTAAAGATTTTTTCTTTTTTTAATGATGAACATTGATTAAATAAATTTTCAAATCGAGAATGAAATTGAAAAATATTTATTAATATATAATTCTAAATAATATCAAATTGAAATTTGACATAAATAAAATAAATGTCTAGTACTATCAATGTATTAAATTAGAAAAATAACAAACTAATAAATAATAATTTTCAATCATTTTGAGAATAACTTCTTCAAATCTGTGTAGTCGAATTAAATAATTAATAAATGAAAAAGAAAAATTATATTATAATTCAAATTATATTGTTTTTGAATTTCAATATTTATAAAAAAAAAATTTGTTTTCACATTTGGCAAACAAATATTTCATCATGAATCTTATGCAATTTTATTTATTTTTTGTATATTTCTAATATATATTTAATTTAAATTGATAAATTAATTGTACAATTATTTTAATGATATAATTAATTACTTTTGTATGCTTTTAAATCATATAATATGTTTATAATTGTATTTCAAATAAATAACAAAATGAAAATTATGCGATGCTATTAAGATAAAAGTTAATAACAAAATAGATTACGATATATGACATTACTTTTCGTAATCCTATTTTATTTTTATTTTTATTTTATTATTTCTGTCATTATTTGTTACTAAAGTATAAGTTCTAATTGAATTCATTACAATTATAATATATAATATTGAAAAACTATTTCTGTCATATAATTAGACATTATAATATAATTCATTCATAATATAATAATATAATAATATTTAATTTATTTTGGTTTATTTCGATAAATTATATCGATGATCGTAAGAAAAATAATTTTTTTAAATTAATAATATGTAAAGTTTTTCGCACGTTGCATAGGATTATGAAATAAATGTTACATGTTTCTCGTATTAATATCACATATTGCAATTTTTTCAATTGCAATTTTTTTATTAGAAAGATAATTCTTGTTTCTGAATTGATTGATATACATATATTATAAAGATATAAATAAGATATCATGGAAACATTCAAATGTTTTGATCTGATTATTAATAATATAATATGATTAATTAATATTTAATATAATAATTAAATTTTATTTTAATTAAATTTTATTAAATAAAAAAAAAATAATCAACAAAAATTAAAATTTCTTTGGACTTCTTGATTTTCTTGCAATTGTTTGATCGCTCGCTATTTTTTCAAAAATTTTAAGATTTTATATTTTTAGGGCAAAATAGTGCATATTATTTTGTATTATTTTAATAATTGCATTGCTACTTTGAAACGAATGAAAAAATTCGCTTACTTTTGTTGCAAATAATTGCATAAAATTGCGCCATCGAAACACGTTTAAAATTCATTCCAATCATTAAACGCGGCGATTTGTTATTCATAGAAACAAGCCTAATAGTGCAATTAGTCTTTGAATGTAGTCAATACACGAATAATAGAATTATCGTGCTGTTCACGCATATACATTTACTTGCACGCAATCAATGAATTCATTAGCACACATCTAATATTTTCTGTTATCTTATTAGTTAATCATTACAGTTGTAAATGTCATTACATTTTTACTATTCAAACATTATAGAAACAAGATCGGATTTGTTTTTTTTTTATTTTTAACATATCTATTTTTATTTTTATGCTTTAAATAATTCTCAAGATATTAATTTATGTGATATCTTTGGGAAAATTTTAAAAACCAGAACAAAAATGTTGAAACTTATTTTATGTATTGTTCGATTGAGATTATTGGAAATTTAAAAGTTGTATATATTTTAACGCAAATATAAATTATTTAACTTAATAATAAGTAAATTTCAACATGACATTTATATATCAACTTTTGTGTTTGTTTTGTATTTGGGGAATACGTATTGTCGAAATTAGTTTGAAAAAGTTATGAATTTTGATAGCAAAATTTGTTACACTTCTACACATTATTATATGTAAAAATTTATCATAAAAATTGGAAAATAAAACAATAACATTTTTTTAAATAAAAATGGTTATTTGAAATATATATACATTTTATTTTTTTTCTTAAATTTCTTAATTATATTTCTGACTTTAATAATTTTGATGTCCGAGTTACATTTTTTGATTATTTATCGTCGTAATATTACAAGAGAAAAATTTCAAAAAATATACTGTATTCTATAAATGATAATTTTTGTGATAACTTTTTAAAAACGTATCATTTTTTAATTAAAATATCGTAATATATATCTAAAATAATTACAACAAAATTTTTCATTTGCTTTAACAATATCATCGAAATAAAACCTATATTCAAGAATATTATAAGTTAAATTCATTGATAAGAAATTCATGATTCATAGATTTTAAATTTATAAATTGTAGAGTTTTTATAATTGTAACAACAAATAATTAATAGATAGAATTATAAAGAAATAATAAAAGAATTACAAATAATTATAAAAAATGATATAAGTTAATTATAATAATGATATGTCATTATATTAAAATTACTGATTTAATCTGAAATAGAGTATTTTCTCAAAGGCCTTCCGAAGCATAAAATCTGATTTAGCCAAGGATGTTTAATTAGTAACCATTAAAAATTTTCCATTCGTTTCTGTTATGTTTGTCATTGAATTTAAACTTATTAAATATTAATTTCTTTATAATTTAATTATTATGATTAATAGTTAAAATTTTTTAAATAAATAAATCTTGGATTGAAAGAAAATAAACACAAATTATATAAATAAATAAAAACAATTATGAAATTAAAAAAAATAATTAATAATAATTCATGGATGATTATTAAATTATATGCAGTCTTTACTCAAAAGTACAATATTTAATTTATGAGAATAAATTAATATTTATAACTGAGTTTTTATTATTAAATTTTATTAATATTAAATTGCAATCATAATTATATGAACACGTGTCTTATAATGAATATACATTAACAAGTTTTATATCATTTTATTATCTTGATTTTCTCACAAAGTATTATTGTTTATAAAAATGTTTCATAAAAAAATTGAAGTTGATGTTACTAATTCTTTTAGAATATGCAAAAATCATAAAGATCAACTTTATATATATCGTGTTTTTTTTTAAATGGAATTATACTTTTAATACATCAATCGATGCAACATGATATTCTCTATAAAAAAAAAAAAAGGATTGATCATATATGCTTAAAAAATATTTAAAAGATATTTCAATTTGAATTTTATAAAACTTATTGAATGAAAGATAAGGAAAGGAAATGAATGTGTCCCTTGTTTCTTATACAAAAATTCTTATAAAATTCAAATTAAATATTTATTAATAATTTTTAAGCATATATGAATTAATAATTTTACAATCATGAGAATCCTTTATATCTTTTATAATATTTTATAATGATATAATTTTACTGAATAATATTTATTAAAATTCGAAATTAAATATGATTATAATTTCGAATTTTATATTTATGAAACCTCACATTATAAAATTATAATAACTAACGAGAAATGAAAATTGAAATAAAAACATTTTAGAAATCAAAATTTAAAAAAAAAATTGATTGTAGATTCAATTAAGCTTATTTTTTCGAAGTTCAAATTTTTGAAATTCGCGGGATTTCTGATATCAAACCGTAAATCGCAAGACGAGATGAAAAAATCTCTATAATTCAATTTTTGTTCTTTTAATTATTATAATAATAATATAAATTTGCACGAATATTTATAGTCAATTTAAAAATAATAAAAATTTGATCGTTGAATTGATTCAGGAACGAATTCCCAGGATTAGAGACAAGGGTTGAGAAATCAAAATGGTGGTCCATTAAAGATGACAAGAAGTATGACACGGAGGAATTGAGGGAAGTCAAATGGCTCGAGGACGCGATAAAAGCGTATACAAAAGCGTTAGATACGCTGTGGTGAGCATGAATGTTTGATTATCCCCTTAATTGCCTATTCCCGTAAAAAAAAAAAAAAAAAAAATTGCAATGAAATTATCTATGCAAGAACTTTTGTGGGCAAAAAAATGCGGACGTTTAAATGAGCAATATCGCAATACTGCAATATGTATTAAATTCCAGCCATCTTTCTTAATTATAATTTGATATTTTTGAAATATTTCGTAATTATTTTATCGTCATATCAAATCAATTCCTTTTTTTCCCTTTTCTATATTAAAATAATATAAAATTATATTAAAATACTTTGTAGACTGTAACGTTTCTATTAATGCACTATAACATATTATTAAATGAATTAAAATACAAGATAATGACCAGACGTGATTAAATCAAGTTAAATCATTGAAACGAACAAATATGTATTGTGTTAAAAATTTTCTATGCAAGGATCTATTGATTTTTAATTACCCGTAATTACTATGCCATTATGTTCAAATGTATTCTAGAAAAGATTATAGAAATAAAACTTTGTTATGGTTTTTAATGTTTCGTGTGATCATGAGTGCTTGCATATGAAATTTACACACATTTGATTTTAGTGTGAAAGAAAAATACATGATTATATGATAATTATAATAATTTTTTTCAAAAATTATAATTGTTAGATATCTTTTCTGTATCTACATATATTTAATTCATGGTTATTAGATAAAATTACTAAATTATTACTAGATAAAAAAAACTCAGTTACAAAAATCAGAATTTATTAGACATTGACAAAAATTTAGTTTCTATTATATAGGATAGAGTTATTCACAAAAGTATCTGAACATTATTTTGCAGAAAAATTCAAAAATTAAAAAAAAAATTTATATATAGAAAATAATAAATTAAAAATATCCAAAGTTTTAGTATTTCGTTTAAAATACAATATTGTATAAAATAATATTAAAATACAATATTGTATAGAATATTTTTTTACAGTATAATAATAGAACACTGAATTCTAAATATATTGTAATTTAAGATTTTGCTTTATCTGACATCATTACAAAATTACAAAAAACAAAATAATTACAAAATTTCAAAAAACAAAAATATATTGAAACTTTGAGCATTGATTTCATTCTTTTAAAATAATAACAAAAAAAATTCTATATATCTATTGCATAATTTCTCACAAAGTTTCATTAAAAATAAAAAATTAACATTTCATAAATAAAAAAAACAAAAGAATATACATATACAAATATTTTCACATTAACTCTTAACTGCCATTTTACCATTAGCATAGAATAATCTAACATTATTATAATTTCTTTCTTAATTTCTAAAATTCTATTCTTGATCCATCTTTGATTATTATCATACAATTATTATGATAAATCTTTTCGTATAGCAAAAAGAAGAAATGCAAGAATCAAATAAATCCCGTGGATTGGAACAACGTTTTATCAAATGTAATTGCGGATTACGCAAAGGAATCGCAATCAAATACCGCTTTTCTCGATCTGTCGATGAAAGTAAAAGCTGGAGAGCTGCAGAGCCTGGGATCGATCATTATTCTCAAGGACAAAGTAAAATTACATTGGGGCGATGAGAACGAGGAAAAAGATGGAGAGGATGACGATGATGCAGATAATGAGGATAAAAGTGAGATGCCGAAAGAATTCAAAAAGTTGATCAGTAAGGAAAAGGGAACAAAAGTTGGGTGTGCTACAACGCCTAAAGAGATCAAACTGTTGCATGAGAATGATGATGAGGATGCTCAAGTTCTTGTTTCCGAAATGGATAACAGTGAATGGTGGACCATGGTCAGTTCTTTGTTTTAATTCGATTGTTTTTTTTCTATATGAATATTATTTTTGAATTAATAAAAGAAAAGCAATTTATATAGAGATTTATATAACTCGCAAATACTTTCTATAGATAATTGATAAAAGTTTTGATTTATATAATAATTTGGTAATTAATAATATTAATGAATTGACAAATTACACGTAATAGATTTTTTGATAATTATCTAAAAAAGCTTCCAAATAATGTTTTCCTAATTTTTTCTTTTTTTTTTACATATAAATGCTCACTCTTAGTTTTTGAAATATTTGAAAAAAAAGATTGCAAATAATAAATAAATCATTTTTTTTTCTAAATAATTATCGCTTTATTTATTAAACTTAATCAGTTAATAAGATAATTTCTTTATAATAAACAAGATAAATAAAATATGTTTAAGAATGTAAAAATAATAAAAACAATAAAATATATTTTTTTATATTATACGTCTTAAGGATTTCTTTAAGATTTCTTAAAATATTTATTCAAAAAATTGTAAATTTGTTGAATTTTGAATTGAATTGAATTTTTTCATATTACATTACTATATGATATATTTTGATGATAATATTGATGATAATAAGATAATTTAAGATAATAAGACAATTTTCACAAGAGAAATTAAAAAATAGTATTAATTGCGATTCAATTATGATATGAAAATATTATTTATAGGTCGGCACAGTGAGCGGTGTCGGTGTAGCCATGTTCGTCGTTGGAATTTTAGCTGTTTACGTGGTCTATACAAATGTTCGTGGACCAACGACACCAAAGAACGCTCGTACCGAAAGAGATACTAGTCTGAGAAGAATAGGCAGCGACAGAGAACCACCTATTCGCTCTCAAAGGCATCCCCGTAATTTACAAAGGAGAGACAGCAACAGAAGTATTAGAAGTACTATTTCCGAAAAAAGCGTCTGATAAGATTTTTTAATGCAAATGATATCAACGACCAAAGCAACTTTAACGAACACTTAATGAAATTGAATTCTTTTAGGATTACGATATTATTTGATTTAGTCATATCAACTATAAATTGTTTCGGGTTGATTCGAATTGATTTTAATTATTTTAATTAGAAAAAGATGAATAACTATATCAGTATATAGTTGATAGTATCAACTATATATAGTTGATAGTATAAATTGTAAATGTAATTCGTTATTCATTCCTATTATTTGATTTAAATTTTTCAATTATTAGATTCGAATTGAATTGAATTGTATCAAATCGATAAGAAATTAATTATATATTTGGTTCTATAGTGATATAAATCTTTTTGATTTGATATTAATTAGCTCAAACTGATGATAAATTTCTTTTATAGTAAAGTGGAATTTTTTTGTTTTTTTTAGTTGATTTTTTATTGATTCAAATTCATCTTATCTGGAATGTATTTATTATCGATTTGCATTCAATTTCATTCGATCTATTTTTTTTCATTCAATGCAAATCGATTCAAATTTATTTAATTACATATGATTCGAATCCAGTTTATTATTATCAATTGACTAAAATAATTTCAATTTTCAATTTAATTTCATTCATTTTACGAATTCATTTTAATACGAATCAATTTCGATATTCAAACGAGTGTACAACTAGTTTGAACTCAAGTTGATGCACTACATATTTCCTAGAAACTTTTAACAAGTAATTTTGAATCTTAGAAAATCTTAAATGATAAAATATGTCGCCTGTTTGCTTATTAGTTATTTTAAATATACACATATACACATGTACAAGCGCTCTCTCTCTCTCTCTCTCTCTCTCTCTCTCTCTCTCTCTCTCTCTCTCTCTCCCTCTCTCTCTCTTTCTCTTTTGAAAAGAAAATCAAATAATAATATAATAACATCTTTCTGTGATTATTCTTGAGAATAATTTATCTTTTAATCCTCTTCTAAAAATCATCGAAAATTCGAAATATTAATGAATAGAAACAAGTTTAAAATAATAGAAACAAGTTAAAAAAATACAAAAATATTAACCATGAAAATATTAAATGAAAAGGATTAAAAAATATATATATTTATATTTCTAATGTTAGTAATTGATAAGCTTTCTGAAAAAATAAAACAAAAATATAAATATTTATTTATTGAAAAAAAATTTATAAATATAAATATTTTCACCAAAATGTTTCTTAATTGATAGAAAGCGAAAAAGAAAAATCCTATAATCCAATAAGAATGCAATGTCAAAATGCTTATATTTCAATTATGATGAAAAAAACTTTTATCACAAGATTTTGGAAAATTGTGTATCAATTGAATAAAATGAGTGATGGATAACAATTTTAATTAAATAAGATAGATATGCAAAAATATTAGAAAAATTATCTATTATTTATATTAAAGATATATTAAATATTAAAAATATACAATGAATATAAATATTAATATTTAATAATAATATTTAATATTTAAATAATAATAATATAATATTTAAAAAGTAATCAATGCATCAAAACACTTTGTTGTTAACTTTCTTCTTGACTTGTTGATCATTATTGAATTATTGTATTCCATACAACAATGCTTATTTATAAAATATTAAATTGAAATATTGTATGCGACTAAACATGTATATGTGTACATTATAGATATTTAGTAATAAATTTAATAAAGTTCATTGATCTCTATGTCTCTTGCAATGATTGATCGATAAACATTCTATTGAGACATTTCAATATTATCATGTAATTAAATAAAGATATATATTTATTTACATGTAATGGAAATATATTAATTACATTTAAGTATATTTTGATTTTCCTTTATCAATCTATTTCATATATTCTATTTCATTTATTTCATAGAGATAGGAGATTGATAAAATTGACCTTGATGTTCTTTTTCAACTTCGGGTTAGATTATCAACTGTTGAACAAGACATCAAAGTGACACTTCCGGCATGAGGAAACGCGCATGTAAAATCAAACGGGGCGAGTGTTGCCTCGGATATGATAAATTAAGATTGTAAAATAGGGTTATACCCGGCATGGAGAGAGATCGACTATTGTTCTCATCACTTGACCTAATCAAACGTTCAATCAAGATTACGTAACATGCAAAATACATGGTCGATCATTGCGTAGATGAAAATAAGTATGATTACAAGAACAAGGATGTGTTTACCGTTTTAATTATGCTATGAGGATATTGGAAGATTGATTTCAAAAGCCAAAATAAATATAAAAATTAATATATAAAAATATCGATTGAAGTTTATTCTATTTTCGCTGTCTAATGCAAACTTCATAATGGCTTATAATTTAATAAATAAATCTCAACATTTTTATATATTAAATTTGTTTTGATCTCTAGAATCGATTCTTCGAACGTATTTCATAAATACATTAATACACTATATTATGCATTTTATATTGTATGCGGCAATTTAAATTATCTACCTACGATAAATTAAATTTAAATTAACTGCAGAAATTGGAAATTTTATTAAATCGATTACACAGATTATTAAGACACACTAATTAAAAATTTATTATAATTAAAAAATAAATAATGATCTAGAACATTAAATTATAACATTATATGTTATAGCTTTATGAAATTTATAAAACCAATATTGCAATAAATAAATTAAAATTGTAAATATTCATTTGGTAATTCGAAAATAGTTAAAAATGACTAAATTCAAAATGACTAGATATTCATAATATTATCTATATAATTATTTACAAGTATATAATAAATAAAATAATTTTATAATAATGAAAAAAAAAATATAATTTGTAACATAAGATTGAAAACACATTGTTCTTGATTTTCTCAATTTTTTTCAATCTTTTTTTTTATTCTCGTACTTTATATAATAATAAATTTCATGCAAATGACATCAAAAAATTTCATAAAAATTTTAAAAATATAAAAAAAATATTCTGAGAATTTTGATAAAAATTCATTAGCAACTACTATAATGAAATAACGGTAAAATTACTTCATTCATAAACATATCATGAAATTGATTTAGCATTTCTGTAATAACGAGACTTGTTCGATAGTCAGTCAACGATCTCTGAAATCTGAGAAATACGTGACGTCAACGAAGTACGAGTTTCATATAACAGGAAAATGTATCATGGGATTTCCATTTCTATTAAATCGTACGGGATTTCCGCTTACAATAAGTTTGAACTAGTTGCACTACAATAAAAATGTTAATTACGAAAAAAAATAATTGATGGATAGAATTTAAAAAAAAATAATTGAATGAAATGATAGATAAATAAATTAGAATTGGTATAATAAAAAAAAAATACTGATTAAAATAAAAAAGTAGATGTAGACATAGGAAGTATTGTAATTAAAAAAATCGTGTATCATTTAGAAGAAAATCTTGGATAAATGTATTATCAAATCAAAATATAATATACCATAATCAAAATAGTATCAATTATTTTAAAAAAAAATCAATAAATACATATTAGTATCTACAAATACCGTAATTATAAGAATAAATTATCAATTATAGAAAGGAAGAAAATTAAGATAAATACCTTAAAATGACCTTATTAAAAACAGTATTAATTAATGGAAGAAAATTATGATAAATAGAAAATGTCATAATAATAAATATATTAATTATGAGAATAAATATTGAAATGCAATAATATAATATATTTTATGCAATAAATATAATATATGAAATTTTTAAGATACATTTTTAAAAAATATAATTTTAAAGTGTTTCAAAAGATATAATATAATTAATTATTTTTATTAATTTTATCAATAACTCTAAAATATAAAGATTCACAAAATACATATATTATTTAATTTTAATAATAAAAAAAACATTATGCAAAAAATAAAAATTTTGTTATTTATATAAACATTTAATTTATAACTAAACTTGATATAAAATATAATTATAAAGAATATATTAATATTCTTGTCAATGTTGATTTCATAACCTCTTTTAAACTTGTAAAAAATAATTTCAAATATCGTATTATTTTTTTATATCAAAAACTATATATAAATATTGTTCAAATATTATTATATAAATATGAATAACGAGTAATATAATGAATAAAATGATAAATAAAATGAATAAAACAATAAAATGAATAAAAATTGTTTGTCGATCAATTTTCTATAATTTTAATTTTTTTTATAATATTCCTTAAAATTTTAAAATATTTTTTTATTTTTATTAAAATAATTAATGTTTTTAGACGATTTTAATGACTCTTAATAAAAGATTACAAAATAAATAATCTCAGGTATTTGAAGTCCACTTGCATATCGATGCAACACACTGAAATTTCTGGAAGGATCACAATGAAATCACTAAAATTTTAAGAACTGTTTTAATATTACTTTTTTCGTTCAAATTTCTGTGAAACAATAAACAAAACTGGAATTCACATATTTCTTGCATCAACTACTTGCATCGGAGAATATTTTTACTATTTTTACCGTATTATGAAAATGATAATCACAATAATCGCATCGAATAATCGATTGGAATTCGTTCATAAAACGAATGATGCAATCCTTTTTGTTTCGGTTTAATAATAGAAAAATGAAAATTTTAAATTGTGAGAATAACAATAGAATATTCTTAAGAAAAATTGCGATTAACTTTAATGTGCAGATTTGAAAAGAAGATTAGTGAAAACGAACCGAGACAAGAGGTTATAATTTGTTCGCTCACTTATTACGATTAATAACGGAATTTGAAATATTTTGAATCACTAAAGTAGCAGAACATTTGAATCACTTCGAATTTAATTCGAAATCTAAAAATTTTTAAAAATCCTGATCGTCTTGATAGCTATGAAACTTTTGAAAATTATTCTGATTTATGTCTGACTTATGTACATTTCATTTTTACCGACATTATCTCTTGCTTGCATGTATATACAATAACGGAAAAAGTAATAAGTGGTTAATAAAAATGAAAGTGTCAAAAATTTTGAATTTGTCAAGATGTTCAAAAATTTTCAAGGTAATAAAAATTTTTGCAATTGAAACTTTTAATTCGAATGTATTATATAGTACAATATAATATTTATAATGCTTAAAGAGGTTAGAATGATCGTGATATTGAGAATCAATCTCACAATTTGTTTCAATATGTAATAATTATTCTA